AGTGGTTTTTAGGAATAGTCTTGCATGCTGATTAAATATTTCATTCTTCTGCAAACCCCTGTGTGTGGAAGTAACAGTATGAAGGAAATTTTGTATTATTAAAGGTAAGCAAGTGTATGACACACCATGTATTTAAATCACAGTATGACTAGCCTTATAAGGGAGACAAAAAGAACAAAGAGAATTCTGTTTATGTTCAACAAGTTTGAGAAACAAGGCAAGAAGTTTTAAGTAGATCAGTTGCATCCTACCATTTACAATAGGGTCGGGGAGTGACTTTAGCATGGCCAGTGGCAAAGGATTTCTTTCTTTCTTTCTTTCTTTCTTTCTTTCTTTCTTTCTTTCTTTCTTTCTTTCTCTTTCTCTCTCTCTCCCTCCCTCCCTTCTCTGAAATATTTTTACCCTACCCTTCTCCTCAAAAAGCAGTTGAGGTAGCTCACATTTTTAAAAAGACAACATTTAAAAGCAAAAAAACCAAAACAAAACAGCAAGTATACAGTGGGAGTCTGGAGGATCAAAGATACCTGTCCTTGACTTAACACATCTAGATCAGCTTTTAGAATACTATTCATATAATTTCCAGTCAAGACAGCTAGTGCTGTCCAGCATATCAGGAGGACACTAGGTGTCTCACTGAGGTGAGCAGTGGGGAGCAGCAAAGGAATAGGTAGATATGCTGTTTGCAAGCTACTGTGTACCTGGGGAAAGCTTGCACCAGAACACGTCACATCACACCTACTGAAAGAAAGGCAAACTATATAATTATCAGAAGCATGCCAGAAAAAAAGGATTTGTGTTTTCCAGGAACTTGTACCAGGTTATCAGTTAATGTACTGCAATGTCAGAGTGCAAGCAAGCAGGCAACAATAGCTGTGCTGTGTTACATGCATAACTCCCAAGCATGGAATTTTGGTCAGGTCTGGCATCTAGTATTCCAGCTGGGAATCTCAGCTTATTTTGTATTTGAACAGAAAGACAATTCTTGACAACATGTGGACAATGCTTCTCAAAATGTGGAGATGTGAGGGAAGGAAGGGGAAAGGAAGCTGAGCAGGCCTTCCAAAGATCCAGGGATGGGGCATGAACAGCAGAAGAAAAGTATGCTAATTCATATAAATACATATGCATGCAAATTATAAGTTGCAGAATTCAAATTTTTGTACAGCAGAATTGGAGTTACCAATTCTTCTTGTTCTTGGTTTTAAAGTACCAAGCCACTGATTCCTACTTCTATTGGCAAAATGACAAATCACATGCTGGGACATCTGCACAACAAGCCTGGAGACACAGAATGACTTATTGGGATAATAAAATGCAATGTGGAGATGTTTTTCTGGATGATACATCTGTCTCTTTACTGCTGTATCTCTGGTCATGTGGGTAAGTCATCAATAGGTTCTGTTTGCATTGTGTAAATCTGGTCCACATCTATCTGTTAAGGAGCTAACAGAAGTTTCATATACTGTATATGAAACTTCTCTTATGTATACTGTATTTAACATCCACATCTATCTGTTAAGGAGCTAACAGAAGTTTCATATATATGAAACTTCTCTTATATATATTTAACATCAGGTGTCCTGACTGACTTCTCTTATGTATACTGTATTTAACATCAAGTGTCCTGACTGAGCCATTGTACTCCAAAAATGTAATGTTTCTGAGCTCTGGTTGATCAAATCTGCACAGCCATTTGGCCTGGAGGGGAGGGAAATACACTCTCCAGGGCAACCTGGACAATAATTTCAGCACAGGTGCTGGAGTCAAAGCTCTTTGGAGTGACAGGTATGCCAGTAGTGGAGAGTTGAGTATATTTTACTTAACTTCATAAAGTTCTGGAACCAAGATCAGTTAAAATACTGTAAGCATGTCTGAGTATCTTTTAATGAAGCTTTGATAGGGATGATGTAGATGATTTCAACAGACTATGTAACATCCCTAGTCCTGATGTCACTTCATCCTGTGATGTCATGTAGCCAGTAATATAAGATTAGGTATGTACTTTGTTCCACTTTGGTCTTCTGTTGCTAAGTCCAAGCATCAACTTTCATATAGGCCAACAGTTCAAAGCAACTGTAGAAAGCAATGAATATGATCAAGTATTTGGAAAGCACATTGTATCTTGCAAAGTGGTATTAACTATGTGTTTAGCTTGTAGAATTGCAAATGGCTGGGTGTGGGTGGGTTGGTGAGTGCAGAGAGATCCTGCAGTAACAGCCTTCAAATACTTGAGGAGCTGTCACAGAGAAGAGGGCAAAGATCTATTATGTGCTGCCACAAAAGGTAGAACTTTACGTAACTGGATTAAGTAACGGAAGAGTAGATTTTGGCTGCACATCAGAACATTTTAAGAAGAGGGCAACAAGAGAACCAATTGCCTGGATGGAGTAACAGGTTCTCTTTCACTGCAGATCTTTAAGTAGAGGCTGAAGAGTCATCAGCCAGAGTTGCTCTAGCTTTCAACATTTTGCATAGAGTTGGGAGGGTGGACCAGATCCTCCCAGCTTGGTGCTTCTTTGTCAGTTTACATTTTGCCATTCTTTCACATCTCTTAAGCTCAGCAGTTTTTTTTTTCCTTGGGTGGGATTCACCAGTGCTTTCTCCAGGAACTGAAGTATGGACGCATGGTGTCTGAGCTTTCAGTGGAGATGTTAAGAACTGAAAGAATGAGATCCTTTAACTTTGCTTTGGATTTGTTAATGACATTCTGTTACCTGAGACAAAGAGTAGGATGGTAACCTCTCCTTCTCCCCCCTATCCTATGTGTAGAAGCCATTTGGACTAGTGGTTTAATCTTACTTAATACTATGGACAACCACAATAATGGATAACAAGATAGCCTGAGCAGGGAGACAACAGAGCAGGCGATCCCTCTTAACTCTCCCTCCAGATCCTCCTCCTCGCTCTGCTAGTAACAGCATTGTCCCTGCCCTTGGTAAATGTTAGTTCAAGCTGTATGGTGCCACAGTAAAATAAAAAGAAAAGGAAAAAAAGGGGGGGGGGAGAGAGAAGAAAATGAAATGGGAAAAAAAGTAATTCTACAGCCATGACCTTTTCATCAATATGAACATACACTTTAATTCAACATTTGAATCTGTTTAATTAACATAGTCTTCCATCTGTGGCTTTCTTTCTGTGTCTGGATAGTTCAGTGGTTTAGATATCTGGCAGTGGAGCCAGAATTTTGGTGTTTGATTCCTCACTATGTCTCCTGAGGGAAAGCCAGCCCGTGTAGCCATGGATAAGCTGCACAGTCTCAAGATGCCCCCCAAAGGGAATGAATACCACATGCCTAGAAAACCCTGGAAAGTATTGCCATAAGTCGGAATAAACTTGTTGGCATATCGTTATTATACTGTATTATGTGCCATAATTTCTCCAATGCAGTGTATTAATTTTCAGTCTCTTTTTGTATGTTTTCTCTGGAATTAACGAACTCAGAAGAAACTGAGTGGCTCTAATACTTTGCAACCTTGAATAAAGTGGTATAGGCTGAGATGATTCCTTTCTTTGGTATGCACTTATGTCAATGAAGACTTGAATGCACTGGCTTTTTCTTTTCTTTTTCGTTTTGCAACCCACTATTTACACATATTTCGTTTGAGTAGACAACTGAGGATGTCCTAATTTGGCCACATCATAAGAAGGCAGGATTCTCTGGAGAAGTCAATAATGCTGGAAAAGTTTGAAGGGAACACAACAAGAGTAAGACCAAATATAAGATGGATTGACTCTCTAAAGGAAGCTATGTCCCTGAGGCTGCAGGAGCCGAACAGGGCTGTTGAGGACATAACATTTTGGAGATGTTTCATTCATGTGGTCACTGTAAGTGGGAGGCGACTTGATGGCACACAACAATAACAGCATTCTTCTGAATTGAGGGGCAATGAGGTGTAGCAGTTAGAGATTGGGAGATCCAGGCATTAGTCCATTAGTCACATTGTGCTCCTTCTCAGCCTCATATGAATAGTGTGGTGAGGATGAATTGGGAAAGAAGCTAGTTCTGCATGCCAGTTTGAGGTCATCTAAGAAAAAAGGTTGATATAAATGAAACTTTTTTTTAAAAAAAGTTGGAAAACAGTATTTAAATTCTTTCACACGATTCAGAAGGAAGCGACCTCTTTCAGAAGAAGGTAAGAACATTTCAGGAGTGAAAAGGGAGAAAGAACCCTGAACGCCGTCCATCTTTGCTGTGTTTGGAATAGTACTCGGTGGAGAAGTCATGCTTCGAATATTCCGAGAAAAGATAACAACAGCAACGCGATCGGCTCCAAATGAAATGTTTTCACAGCTAGAAAATGACCATACACGACGCCGTCCACCAAGGGGATGTGTGGAGGCTGCTGGGTGTGTGTGTGTTAATTCAAATAACTTGTGTGTGTGTGTGTGTGTGTGTGTGTGTGTGTGTGTGTGTGTGTGTGTGTGTGTGTGTGGTGTGTGTGTGTTCCTTCAGACCTGCTGGTAGCTGTCCCCCTCCTTTTTATGCACACAAATGCTTTCGGGGTGTGTTTGTGTGTGTGTGTGTGTGTTTCCCCCCCTTTCTTTTTTAAAACCTTACTTCTGCATATCGGGCCTTTCGGGTCCCCCTCACCCTGCCATCTTCCATCTCTCTGACGGCCCTCCCCGCTCCGGTGGCCAGCGCGAAAGTTAAGTTTGACCGCTTTGCGTAGCACGTGGCGGCGGCCGTGAAAGGCGAGCCCCCGGCTCCGAAGTGACAGAACCGACCGCTCGCCCCGAAGGGGGGCCCCCGGGCCACCTCCTGAGGCGAGGACAAGGAGCAGGCGGCGGCGGCGGCTTCCTCTCCTCACGCCCTGGGCGCGAGAGGATGGAGCAAGGAGAGGTGGGTGTCGGCCGGCCTGGCCGGCGTCGTCGTCGTGCCCCGGCCTCCGCGCGGCTGCCGCCCCCAGGTAAGAGCCCTGCCTCTTTCCCGCCTCCCCTCCTCCTTCGCCCGGGATAAAACGGCGGCCCCGGCGCCGCAGCTGGTCTCTCCTTCCCTCCCTCCCTCCCTCTCTCCTTCTCTCTCTCTCTGGCTCCGTGTCGCTCTTTCCTCCAGCCGGCCCCCTTGAGCCCTTGTCGGGTTATGGCAGCGCTGGGAGCCTTGGTGAAGAAAGTGTGGAATATCCGCCGCTACTTGGTGCTTCTTTGCGCCCCGCTGGTGCTGCTGCCCATCTTCTTCAGCCTGCCCCCCAAGGTAACCCTTTGCCCCCCCTTCCAGAGGTAGACATCCCGGCTCCTTACGCCTTTGTAAGGAGCTTCGTCTTCCTGCCCCGCCGTCTCCCTCCTTTGACCCAAGTCAAAGATAGACTTTCTCCATCGCCTGCTGCTGGTGGAGCAACCACCTGGCCCCTCTCATCTCATTCTTCCTGCTGCAGACCTTAAAAATAAAATATTTTTGGCTCACCCCCCCCCCTTTGCTTTTCATGACTGTGTGACAGCCAGAGCTTTGACAGGTGATGCTTCACACCCCCACTGCTGGGCTTCATCTGTTGACTTCCTGCCTGTTGTTATCCAGTTGCTTCTTGTGAGACCCACTTTCCTACCCTAACAGTAATGACACCCCCAGTTGAAGTGTCCTCTCCCACTACCACTGTTAAGCCCATACAACTTTATAGGTAGCAGCACATCTTCCTTAATAGGCCTTTAAAAATCCCTTCACTTTGCATCAGTCAAGAGACTAGCTGGAATTGCTTTTATCCTCTGTCACTCACATATCCTGATGTCATATTCTCACCAGTTTGTATCTTTGAAATAACTAACCTCTCTTGTTGCTGCCTGTCTGTATCAAGATTCCCATCGTATAGTCCACAGGATTAATTTTTGCTTGCTGCCCCTGGACTACCTTTAGGGAATCTTTATGGTCCTTCCTAAAGAGGAGCTCCTCAAGATCCAAGGTTGCCTCCTACTGATGGTCATTCCAGCACAGATATTGCTTCTGTAGTCCCTTGTGTTAGCTCCATAGCTTTTTCCAGCTGGATAAGCCCATACCCATTGCCATGAAAAAGTACTATATAAAAGAGAAAATCCTAGGGCAGCCCACATCTCTCACTTTTTGGTTCTGAGCACAGCTGGTCCAAGGTAGTTTGTTGCTTAAGCCAGAGCAACAATAAGTGTCACTTCCCCTGGATTTGCAAATAAAGGTACTGTATAGGGTTGTCATTTGAAACATGCTTTGAGGAAAAGTTGCCCCAATCAGCCAGGTGTAGTTGAATTTTACTCACTTTCCCTGAAATTAATTTTGGGAAAATTAATTCGAGGAAATTAACTCCCCTCTTACCTGGCTTATGTATCCCACTGTCCAGGTGCCCTTATTTTGTGAGACTGTCCCTTAATCCTGAGGACACCAAATATTTCCATGGAAGAGTCATGGGCATCCCACATTAGTAGAAAAAAGCACCATTCTGTTCTGTAACACTGAAGTCACAGTTCCAGATTGTCACCTTCGTACTCTGCTTCAAGAGCTCCTTTTCATTCATGTCACAAGGAAATAATTCTTTTTCCTGGAGAAATTCCCAGGGCTTGTTCCCTTCTCCCCCTACAAATGCCCCTTTCAGGCATACTTTTAGTTCCAGTTCTTTAAGCTACCCAGACAAATAAAATACGACTTTTTGGTCATTCTTTGTTGCTTGATTTTCAGCCTTCTTCTTCCAGAGCACTTCATATCACAGCTTATTGATAGGTCCTCGTTCAAAAAAGATATTCTGATGGCAAGTGTTTTGTGTGCGTGCGCAAACTCAGCTGTGACATAACTTCACAATCCAATATACAAATTTCAGCGAGCTAGCTGTGATTAGTCTGTTGCAGCACAGAGGAAGAGTGTTGTAGCATCTTAAGGATGAATAAAATGTATTCAGTATAAGCTTTTGCGCGCTGCATGATGTGATCTGATGAAGTGAGTGGTGTGAAGACCTTGAAGGGATCTCCACAGTGACAGTTTTTGAAAACCTACGCCAGACACCACTTTGTAGTCTTTAAGGTGCTGCAAAATTATTTGATGTTAATTGTTGGCCTGTTTCCTCGCAAGGAAGTTGTGCTCTGCTCATCTGGGCTTGCTCATTGGTAACCATCATGGGATTGCAGGTTAAGGTTATCATCCGGTGTCTCTTTGGGTAAACACACAAGAGCTCAGACAGCTTTTAAAGTAACTCTTCCAATCATTTTCTAAATCTTGGTGCTCCAGGGTGCATTGAGGTACAGTATGGGGTTTAACTGGAGATTTTATACAAGGTGTTTCAAGTAAGATGTGGATGTAGCACACTTTTAAAGTGTATCAGTAGAGAACTGAATGTATAAATAAACTGTGGGGTAATGTAGGGGTAGTGGTAAGAGTTGTCCTCCAAATTCTAGCCATGTACATCCACCTTCCCTTTCTCCTCTTGCCAAAGCTGGGTCAACGTTTTTCAGAATTGTGTTGGCTGGCACAGAAGTGACTTGCAACTGGGACACACAGTTCTCATTCTCCAGTAATATGGATGTTTTCTACAGAGACTGGAAAAGTAACTTTTTAAAATCACAATTCCCAGATTGCTTGCCCATAGCTACTAGGTTTCCTGGGGTATTCTGGTAGTTGTAGTCCCAGCAAGTGATTTTTCCAAGCTCTGTCATTCTTTTTTGTCTTTCTGCAGCTTTAGTCTCAAAATCTTTTCCAGGTCAGTTTAGCTCAGAAAATGTATCAAGAGTCTTATTGCATCGTCCACAAGTATAGGATTCACCACTGCTGTTTCCTAGGCTACCCTCTCTATGTTTGTGTCTTGATTATTCCTCTAAAGTAGTTCTGTCACATTTTTACACTATGGCTCAAGTCCATCCCTGGCCATCAAATAGGCCAGCCAGTGATGAAATCTTCCCCCTTCTTTGGTGCAAATTGAATTGTTGCTGTCAGCTTGCATCTTAAATTATTATTTCCCTGCATTGGCTGAAATTCTGTTTTGCGGTTACACAAATGGTGTAACTTTTTGACATGAATTGTTGTACTTTAAGGAATCTCTGTAGACATTCTCTGTTGCCCATTGAGTTGTATGGTGTAACTTTTTGACATGAATTGTTGTACATTCTCTGTTGCCCATTGAGTTGTACGACTCAGTGAGCAACAGATGATGCCTATGGAGATTTTTTAACTTATGGCAGTTCGTATGTAAAGATGATGTCATTTGTATAACTGTGCATCAGGATTTCCACCAATTTGTGTCTTATCCCCTTTGCTCCTCCTGCTTGGCAGAATGTTTGACACTCTCTGGGACTGATCCTTGCAATATAACTCAAGTCAATTGAAAAGCAGGTTTAGCATTCCTAAATTTATTTATTTTTATGAAGCTTTTCCCTTGCTTTCTTGGTAAGACTTGCCTTTACTTTACACAAGGATGTGCTTGTAAATATACCATGCTCATATGTGTTGGGGAGAAAGGCCTCAGGGTATTTATTTCTTTTCACAATACTGTAGTCCGAAATTAGGAAAAATTACACAATGCTGTTTAGAAACAAACTCTGCTGAATCTTTCATTAGGAGATTCATTAGGAAGTTTCAGTCTATTGCCAGAAGGATGAATTGGGAAAATGGATTCATATCACACAACATGTGTTAATTGGTTTAACCAGAGGCCAGCATTTGCATTATCAGCTACAATTTGGTGAATGGCCAATGCTACTAATGTAGTTGCACTATTGGTAGTTTTGGCTTTTTCTGTCTGATCTCACTTTCTATAATACCTGAAATTCTGAATAACACTTCATGAAGTTGAATACACTAGAATCCATGAATCCCGGTGTAATGAAAAAATTACTAACCCTTAAAGTGCTATAGGTCTCTGATGTTTGTGCTACAACTAACCTCCAAACTTATGCTATTTACTCATGTAATCCTCAAAACATCCAGAGAAATAATGTTTTTGAATATAAGTGGGGTTTGAATCTGACTGATCTGCCTCCAAGACCAATGCTAGATCTCATGCATTGCAGGATTGCAGCTCCCCCATCCCTCACTATTGGCTGTCTTGGTTAGGGATGATAGGAGTTGCAGTTCATGGATGCCTGAAGGTTGCACGTGCCCTGTCCAATAATGCAGTGTGTTACATTTTCTCCAGTGTTGTTTATGAAATCTTGCATTCCTATTCTAGATCAGTGGTTTAGGTATCTGGCTGTGGAGAGAGAAAGGTTAGGAGTTCGATTCCCCACTGTGCCTCCTTGACATGAGCTAGACTTGATCTATAGAGCCCCTTCCAGCTGTGTAGTTCTAAGATAATGATGATAATGATTCCTTAGCACTGTGATTGATGCAATGTAGGTTACTTGATCTATATTCAGTTCTCAGAGCCAAATTAGACTGGATGCACCACTACCTCTAGTATGCAGGGTTTTTTTTTAAAAAAATCCACATAGCATATCTGCATGAAGAAAAATAATCAGTAGGATCAGAGTAGACATGATTCTACCCTTTTTAAAATCCTTCTTATGATGCTGATTTTTGCTTTGGGGAGAAATGTCCCCTTTGTGCCAGTGAACACATCTCTTTCAAAGAGATCTCCTTAGGATTGCAACAGGATAGGAAGATGTTAGTGTTCTTCTCTATGACTGTTAATTAATAGAATCCAGCTGTCAAGTAATGGAATCCAGTTGATGCAGATTGCATTTTTTAAAAATCAAATCCCTATATACTGCATGAAAAGACATGCATTTAAGTCTAGGTATTTGTTGGCTCATGGTTTTATTAAGAAGGGGCTGCTGGAAGAAAGGTTTCCAGGAAGGGTGTTCTTGCCTCTGGACTTTGTTCAGTGTCATTGGTTATGGATTTATTGACTTTCTAGCTTTGTTGTAAAGAATATGGGCCCCTCTTCTTTCCTTGCATGTGTTTGTTCTTCAGCCTTTGAGTTAGATATATTTCTTTCCTAGACTCCTCTATAGGTTTTTGTCCAGGAAAGTTGTTAAGTCTTATGTAGTTCTTCACAATCACCACAATATTTCTCATTACAGTGTGAATACCAGGATTATTTTATTCATGTTCAAATAGAATTGTTCATGAAAGACAAGTATCAAAAGACAAGGAGACTTCTGTGTAAATTTTGACCAGATTAAGTGGTTTAGGAGCCACAAGTTGGCAGTTTGATTCCCCACCATGCCTCTTCCAAAGTACAGCCAGTCTGTTTGACCTTGGGCCAGCTGCATACTCCCAGGGTCCCCCAAGAAGAAGAGAATGGTAAA